ATCATGATGAACACCACGTGATGGATGGAAGTGTTGGATCACTAAACTGTACCCCTAAAACCAATATGACACTGTATGTTAACTAACTGGAATGTAAATAAAAATAAAAGGAAAGAAAGAAAGAAAGAAAGAAAGAAAGAAAGAAAGAAAGAAAGAAAGAGAGAGAAAGAAAGAAAGAAAGAGAAAGAAAAGAAAAGAAAGGCCTTCCTTAACCCCATGTATCTCTGGTCATTGTTACCACACTCTTTTCTGTTCATAGCCCTTACCAGTCCCTAAAATGCTCAGAAGGGTGGGACACTATTTTTTCAAGTGCTTAGAGCAGTTGAGCAAATGAACATTATATGCGTACGGGCCTAAAAGGAGAGACACACGATGGCAGAGCAGGAGAGAGAAAGGGAGGGAGAGCAGTGGGAAGGGAAGGGGGGAGGGAAGGAAGGTGTCCTCGCTCGGGTCTCAGCTACGTCCACTACAGGGATTCACACATATCTGAGCATATCTGCCAGACTGTCAGATGGACCCACCAGGAATGTGTCTTTACGAGGAACTGAGGCAGCCCCAGAGAAAAACACTACCCCTAGAGTAAAGATACTAAGAGAAGTAGACTTGTCCCAGTACCAAAGGATAGGACACAGGAGACAGAGCTTCCAATCCTCAGGTACATCCAAATGTGTTATATCCATTCATCAGTTGATGGGGTTGTTTCCACTTTTTGGCTGTTATAAATACTGTTTCTGTGAACATTTATTACATGTTTTTGTGTGAATATATGTTTTCAATTCTCTTGGGTACATGCCTAGAAATGGAATTGCTGGGTCACATGAAACACTATGTCTAATATATATTTTTAAAGATTTTATTTATTTATTTATTTATTTATTTGAGAGAGAGAGAGAGAGAGAGAGAGAGCGCGCGTGAGCACACGCACAAGTAGGGGTTGGGGAGGGCAGAGAGAGAAGGGCAGCTGCACTCTGTAGAGCAGGGAGCCTGACCGGGGGCTCTATCCTAGAACCCTGAGATCATGATCTGAGCTGAAATTGAGAGACGCCTAACTGACTGAGCCCCCAGACGTCCCTGTGTGAGTGTTCTACTTTCTCCTCATCATCCTCATCAACACATATTTTTTTGTTGTTGTTGTTTTAAATTCTTCGAACTATCCTAGTGGCTGTGAAAACAAGAGGTTCTTCTAATACTTAAATTTGATCACTCCCCTCCTCATTTATATTCTCTAGTATGTTAGCTCTTTTTTTTTAAAGGCAGATTATTTTACTTTATTTTCTTCATTTTCACTTATTTTTCACACGTTTGTTTTAATTGTATTATAAACACCATACCTCAGACGTTGTTATTACTGTTTCATGTAGTCATTAAAAATATTTACCACATAGTTAACAATGTCTTTGTCTATCATTCCTTCTTGTCTTTCACACTTTCATTCAGGACAATTTTTTTACCCTTAAGTTCTTTGGAATCTTCTTTAGTGAATTCCTATTAGTAACAAATGCTCTTAATTTGCACTCATTCTTGAGAAAGATAATTTTGCTCGGTAGAAATTTCATATTCACAATGATTTCCTCAAAATCAAAGATCTTACTTCATTCTCTTCTAATTTCTATTGTTGCTTTTGAGAAGTCAACCATTAACATCTTTCCTTTGGAGGTGTTTTGTCTTCTTCCACAAACAGCTTTTAGGATCATATTTTGTATATTTTCTAGGGCAGATTCACTTCAATATATATAAATGGTGATTGTTTGAATTCATCCTACTTGGGATTCATTTGACTTCCAAAATGTCAGGATTTGTATCTTTCAACAATTCTGGAAAATACTTCAAATAGAGCCTCTGTGCCCTTGTATCTATTTCTCCTTCTGGAATTTTCATCGTACAACTGGCAAATAGTCTTAATTTAGCCTCTGACCTTTCCTTTGTATTTTTCATTTATTCCTGTTGCTGTGTAGCTTCTGGATAACTTCTTCAAATACACTTTTCAATAACTCTCTCTTTAGATGTGACTAATCTGCTATTTAACTTCTCTATGGAGTTTTTAATTTTAGTTATTGCATTTTTTCATTTTAGTCATTATTTTTTTCACTTCTTACCATTTTTTTTAACTTTGGTAATTTCTTAAAGTCTCTTGTTCCTTACTTGTATTTGCAATAATTTTACTTCTTTAAACATATTAAGAGTAATTACCTTATGTTCTGCCTCTGGTAATTCCAGGATCTTAAATCTTTTCAGGTCTGGCTTGTATCTGTTGTTTCTTCAGGCTCTCACTCATGGCTTGTTTTCTTAAAAGTTTTCTGTGTTTTGTCTGTGAGCTCATGTTCTCTAGAATATTATCTATGAGATTTATTGGTAGATTGGGTAAGAGCTGTGTTCCTCCAGATAGGATTTGTGTTGACTTTCTCAGCCATCGGAGAGTACTTCTAGCCCAGAATCACTTTAAATTTAAATTTAATTCTCTGCCTCACATAATTTAGATCCCAAAGATAGAGTAATTGGTTTCAGTAGCTCTCCAGAGTCAACTGTTATGATTATCAATTATTGGAGGAAATTTCTCCATCCTTCCTTCCCACCTCTAGCTCTAGCATGAATGTGAAATCAAGCACATCTCCTCACTGTACCTGCTCTGTGAAGAGAGTTAATTCTGTTGCCTATTACCTTTACGGCATAACTTGAGATCACAGTTCCATGTGGGGGACTCCTCTCAGTCTGTCCATCCCAGGAAGTTCTCAGACTTATCTCTAGAGTCTGCCACCATGGACAGCTATCAGAACATCAGTTCTAGGCCAGTCGAGGCATGGCCAGGTGTACTTAGGGTTAAAACTGATTTCAGTACTTACTTACCTCCCAAGGTTGCTGTTTTCACTTAGCTTTTGGCTTTTCTGAATTCTTTTCATTCTTGCCAAATTGGCAGTGCATTTAAAAAGATTTCAACATTTCTTAATCCAGGTGTTTTTTTGTTTTTGTTTTTACTGTTTCAGAAGAACGGTGATTCAAGATATTTAGCTTGTGTTGGAGATGGAGTTCTATCAGTATCCTTTCTAAAGAATCACTAAAGGCAGAAATCATATATGAACAAATATATTTCATAATAGCATTGAACGCAATGTTGACACCTTATAGCAGTGGTTCAGCTCTCCTCAAGATGCCTTCGTTCTGCCTTCTTCCTTCATGTCTGCATCATGCTTGACTCTCAGATTAATTCATTTAAAAACTATTTATTGAACACCAGCCTTTACCATGATGCTAAGTGCTGGAAGATTCAGGCAAGATAATATTTCCCTCTGTGGTTCAGGGAAAATAGAAACCCTCTGTGGAAATTCTCTGTTGGGCTTACAGATCACACCCGTGTGAACTGCAAAGTTTTTCACTGATATTAAATCTCACCTTGAGGGGCGCCTGGGTGGCTCAGTGGGTTAAGCCTCTGCCTTTGGCTCAGGTCATGATTTCAGAGTCCTGGGATCGAACCCCGCATCAGGATCTCTGCTTGGCAGGGAACCTGCTTCCCCCTCTCTCTCCACCTACTTGTGATCTCTGTCAGTCAAATAAATAAATAAAATCTTAAAAAAAAAAAAACTCCCCTTGAAATTGTATGCTTTTCGGAGGAGGAAAATAGTGATGTAGGAAAATGTGATATTCAGTTTCTGTATAATTTAAAGATAAATTGCTAGAGGTTCCTTTGGGGTTTATTTTATGGCAGGAAACAATATAAAAAAAGAAGTTTCAACTTTATTGTTTCAGGAGATTGTGGTTACTCATCTCATACTCTAAATACCAGTAACTCAGCTAAAGTAGGAAACAATTATTTGTTATTGTGCATAACTCTTTAGATATGTGGCAAGCGTTTTTACTAAGCTCCAAACCCAGGTAGGGAGAGAGGTCGTAACAAGAAGGAGAAGGGTTAGGGTATGTTAGGTAGCTGGAATCTACATGATTTGGCTGTAAATAGAAGAGGGTGGTCCCTCTTACAGATCCCTTGGGCTTTAAATATGGCCAACTGGGGTAGACATCCCATCCCATATCCCTGGATATGGAGAAGAGTATAATCATTACTGGAACCAGCAGAGTTCACCAGACAAGAGGAAGTCAGTGCTTATCAGAAGCAGCCACCCTTATCCAAACGTATATCCAAGAAAAATGGTCTCGAGAAGTTGTTGCTCTTTCCAAGAGTGAGTTATGAACACTAGTTGTAAAAGTAATGACACTCTTTGAGGAAAAACTAGCAGAATATGTCCCGCATTCTATATACATCTCTAATGCCTTGAAAGACTGGCAAAACTCAGTGGTGGGTAAGAGTCTGGTTTCCTCACTTGATGGAATGAGAATGGGTATTATATGCAACTGATGAATCACTAAATTCTACCTCTGAAACCAACAGTACATTATATGTTAACCAATTGATTAAAAAAAAAAAATGAGTCTGGCTTCCTGTGTTGGTGCTTTCATCTGTATCCGGCCATGCATTTTCTCTCCAAAGCTAAGCAATTAGTTTTAGAATCTCTTTAGTTATCAAGTATTTTTTTATTTGCTCATCTGAAAATTTCTTCCACAGGAGCAGTTTCTAAATATTTTGAAGCTGTATATTGATTTTTAAACTTAAAACATTTTGTCTTTATTCACACATCAAATAATTATTTAGTACTCTTACATATATATCTCATATATGTCAGGCTCTGTGCTAGGCGCATGCTCTCTCTCTCTCTCTATATATATACTAGCCTTTGTGCTAGTACTATTTTATATATAAATATATATATATTTTATACATATATATATTTATATATATATATATCAGCCTCTGTGGGATAAAATAGACATAGTTTTTTTCCTTCAGTGAATTTATACCTATACACATGTAATTATAGGAAGATTAAGCATCCAGTCATACAAAGACAAAAATTAAACATATAATTTTACAAAGGTTCATAATTACAACTGATAAGACCGTGGAGAAAATATACAATAAGTACAGAGCTATCTTGAGCTGGGAAAGAGGAGAAATGACATTTAACTGGGACTTGAAGTACTGGTTGGAACACAAGGCAGTGGGGGGCGAGGAGCTGGAAAGTATGTACAAAGGAACTCGAGGAAGTGGAAGGTCAGGTCTTGACATTGGGAAGCCGTAGGGAGAGTCGAGTGAGAAGGGAATGGTCTGAAAGCATCATGAGCTGGCATATCCAGGGCTTCGGGATTATTGTGGATGACGTCGGGTATTATCTTATGAAAAGCAGGGACATCCATAAAGTTTTCAGCTGGAAAGTGACATGGCTGGATGTGTGTTTTTCAACAGACTTTCAGGCTGGCTGTCCTGTGGATCATGGCAAGTAGGGAAACACAACGGGAGACAGGGTGACACTTCTGGTGATGATGGTGGAAATGGATTTGGAGATGAGCAAATGGATTCACTTATGAAGGAATATCTGAGAGGGAAAATGGATAGAGGATGGTGACTGACTGAAGAACCCTTAGAAACCCAGGGAGCAGTGTGGTCTGGTTTCAGTCCAGTATCCCATTGAAATAATTATTATTTCCGCAGAAAGGTAGACTCGGAAGCATTTCAGAGATTTACTCAGGCTCTTGAGGAAATGCCCTGTATCTTTATGGCGTTATTTTTAATGCACACTAAAACTTCTTTAAGAATTATTTCTCGTGGGGCGCCTGGGTGGTTCAGTGGGTTAAAGCCTCTGCCTTCAGCTCAGGTCATGATCCCAGGGTCTTGGGATCGAGCCCCACATCGGGCTCTTTGCTCGGCGGGGAGCCTGCTTCCTCCTCTCTCTCTCTCTGCCTGCCTCTCTGCCTGCTTGTGAGCTCTCTCTGTCTGTCAAAAAAAAAAAAAAAATCCTCTCCTGCCATCTCTCACCCTCAAGGTCTTTCTGACACTTAGGAAGAAGCAGGAAGACAAAACTGTCCTCTCTTTTTGTGTGCACTAACAGTGTCCAGCATCCGTCTCTGAAGTGGTTTCTTGTTCCCCCTCCACTGTTTGAGATCAGGGTTCAGGTACCCTTGGTGGCTTCTGAAATGCTTCTCCCTTTGCTCAGTGGTTTTGGGCTTCTGCACAGCTCAAAACCAAATTCAGCAAACAGAGGAGCAGAGAGGTTGAAGAGATGACTGTTTGCTGTTGTTTCTCTGCATGGTCAAATGTGTTCTGCGAGCGAGAGGAATGTGTGTTCGGATGGGTCGAGAAGGGCCCCTTTATGGAGAAGGGAAGGAGAGGAAAAGAGAAGGTGTTGGTGAAAACATGAGATCCTATGAACGTGTTGAGTCTAGGTTGCTTTTTGATAGTCTAGGGAAGCTGTTCAGGAGCCGCCTTGTGAGAGTCAATTGTTAAATTTTCAAAAAAAATTTCAAACACGGCCACTAGAAAGTTTAAACTGTATAAATGTACAGTTAAATAAATTATATTACATGTACAGTTAAATAAATTATATTATAAACAAAGGTAATAAATACACTCAAAACTCGCCACCACCTGTATTTTACTATTATCTATGAAGTTCCAAGTCTACTCTAACAGTATGGTGGAGATACCAAATAAAGGCATGCAACTGTGCCTTTCTTGCCTTCAGTGACAGGAGACTGGTAGCTAGAAATCAGCCATATTTGCAGTATTTAAACAACAAAAATTGGTAAAAGGTATGAATCAAGGCCTTCCCCTCCCCAACAGCCATTAACTAAATACTTGCCACCACATCACTAAGAGACTACTGGGTAAATAAGTCTGGCCCCAGGAGACAGATCTGCACTGGAGATACTCCTGTGGAAGGAACCAGAACGTACATGTGAGGTGGTGGGTTCATGGACTTACAACAAGGCCCCACACTTACGGACGTCCCGTGTCTGGTTTAATGCTTTCCTGTTGCCATCTTGATAATTCTTAAATTTTTGAACAAAAGGCAGCAAGTTTTCATTTTGTGCTGGGGTGGTATAGGTGGTAGAGGGCTTTGGGTTGTCTGGGGGTTGCTTGGTTTACTGCCTTCTTTCTGTCAAAACAGGTTTTCTGCCTTATTTCCTTATTTGGTAGTATATTTGCACAGATAATCTCCCCATTCATTCCCTTAACCTGTGGGTTCTTTACAACTGGCTCACAGAATTTCCTTCTCTTTTCTCTCTGTATTATTCTCTTCTCTTTGGTCTTCTTTGGAAAACTGTGAACTCTCCAGACATGAATGTATTAGGAAACCTTAATAAAAATGTTTCTGCTTCAGATTGCGATGTTTACGCATTCGCCTTTTAGATTCATAGGACATGGGGGTCAAGACAGTTCTGGAATCACAGAGAAGGAGGCTCGAACTTTTGTGTTTGACCCGAGGTAAGTTTCTTTGGTTTCCTCATCACAAGAAAAGAATAATGCTTGCTTCTGAAGGTTATTGTGAGCATTCAAGGAGACAGTGTAATCAAGATCCTAACACAGTGCTGGCTACATAGAAAACATTCCATTAATAGCAGTTATTAAATATATTATGTATATCATGTATATTATCAATGCTACTTCTGTTCATATATGTTGCCTTAGGAGCTGTCAGTAATGAAGTCTGCACACAGCAAGGAGAATTCAAGGACACTTTTCCTGGCCTCGCAATACGTATGTCCCAGAGTGGCTTGGCCAACACTCAAGATACTGCAGGCGGCCGTCTTCACGGCTGTATCACCAACCTCTAGCATAGCGCCTGGCACACAGGGGTCGTCCATTTATATTACGACCGCACGGTAACGCCACCGGGCGTCCCCTCCATTCCCCCCACCCCGGCAAACCCTAACTTCTCCACTGTCTCTGGGGAGGCCCCGGGGCAAAGCCCAAGGGACCCGGGCGCGCGCCAGGCCTCGTTGGCCGACGCGGCTCCGCGCGTGGCTGCAGTCGCTATGGAAACGGCGAGAAGTAACAAGTCCATCCCTCCCCCCCCGCCCCCCGGGGGTGAGGGAGGCCCGCGGAGGCAACGGCAGCGGAGGAACAGCGGCAGAGCCGCGCCGCCCCCGAGTTCAGCGCTGTGCCAGCCGAACCGCTGCGCCGCGCCCCCGCCCGGCCCTCGCCCTCCCCCAGCCGGCCCTCGAGTGCCGCCAGGTACCCCCGCGGGGGCCGCGTCCCCGGGGACCCCACCCGCTGCCTCCCGCCCTGGGACCCTGTGGCTCGCCGCGGGGTTCAAACGGTGCCCGGGGGACCTTCGCCCGCGCTGGCGCTGCTGGTCGCCGGTGGGACCAGGGGTCCCGGAAGCTCGAGCCTCCCCCCTTTTCTCCCTCAACGCACATTAGAGTATTATTTTTCGGCAAATAAGCATGTGGGCAATTCGAGCCAGACTCTCCATTGCTTTCATTTGGGGAGCAAGCAGGAGAGGAAGGGGTGAGGGGGCAAAGCGAGAACCCGCAAGCGTTTGCAAGAGTCCCGCGGCTAGGAAGTGAGACGTGGAGTTGGAGCGTCCTTGCCCTTCGTGTGTGCGTGGGAGCGCGCGCTCACCTCTCCCTCCCGCGGCGCCTCGGCTCCCCGGCGTGAAGACCCTCGCGCGCTCGCGTCCCGGGGCGGCTCGACCTGGGCTCTGCCCCGAGCGTGCGAAGCAGGGGTGCTGCGCGCACGGCGAGCGCTGATTGGCTGTGCAGACTGTGGGGAGCCCGCCGGACGTGCACGGCGCGCCCCGCAGCCCGCAGGGTCCCCGCAGGGTGAAGCCCGGCGCTCAGTCCGCGCTCCGCCTTTTTTTTTCTTTTTCTCCTTTTTTCTTTCTTTCTTTCTTTCTTTAACCGCGGGCTTGTGTGTTTCGCGTTGGTTTCAGCAGGCGACCTCGCGGGGTGCGCGCGGCGAGGCTTCTGGGCAGAGAGGCACCTCCCCTGAGAAGCCCGCAGGGCGGCGTCCCGCGGGGAAGATGAGCGGCACAGGCGCCAGGTCCAGCCACCTGTCCCAGCCGGTCGTGAAGAGCGTGCTGGTGTACCGCAACGGGGACCCCTTCTTCGCGGGGCGTCGCGTCGTCATCCACGAGAAGAAGGTGTCCAGCTTCGACGTCTTTCTGAAGGAGGTGACGGGCGGCGTTCAGGCGCCCTTTGGGGCGGTCAGGAACATCTACACCCCGCGGAGCGGGCACCGCATCCGGAAGCTAGACCAGATCCAGAGCGGGGGCAACTACGTGGCCGGGGGCCAGGAAGCCTTCAAGAAGCTCAAGTGAGTCCGTCTGTCCCCTCTGCCCACCGCTGAAGGTCGTCGCCTGAGCAAAGGAGTGAGCCCCGCCTCGCCCACCCGCCCACCCGCCGGGTGACCAGGGGCTGGGGCTGCGCGGGTGGATGCCTCTTGGGGCTCCCGCTGCGGCTGGGGTGGGGGGTTATGTGTGACTGGGGAAGCAGGAGGAACAGGAATCTTAGAAAAGTATTCAGTGACCAGACTGGACACTTGAGCGTTTTCCGTTGTTGTTGTTTTTTTCTTTCCTCTTTTCTTTTTCCTTTTTCTTGACACATGTTTTTTTCAGTTTAAATAACGCCTTCTTAAAAATCATTTTGAACTATTGGATAGTATGTAATCACCAGAGGAGAAAATTGCTTTCTGCCCTTTCCCTCACCCCACCTGCTTAAATTCTTCCAAATTTTCATTTCAGGTAGAACTGACCACGCCCCACTGCTGTGACCCTCCTCCCACCACCTGCATGTTTACGCTATTAGCATAATGCTTGGAAAAGTTTATTGGCTTATGGTATCTGCCTATATGTCTGTCTGTAGGTACTTGATGGCCAGACCTTCAAGTGCAGGGGGTCAGTCTGCTTATTCCCAGTTCCTGGCAGAAATCTCACTCATACAGGTGGTCAGTGAGTTCGCAAGCTGTGCTTAGATCTGCGAAAAGAACAAAGATGAGCTAGGTGTGACTCCTTGTCTTTAAGAGTTTGAGATTTAGCAGGAGAGAGACCACATGCACACTGATCATTTTAATGCAAAGTAGAAAGGAATAAATGGAATTAGAAAAATAAAATTATGTGGAAGTTCACAGTTGAGGGACATTGTTTCTGCTGGGGGTGGGTGTTGGAGGATAGGTAGAATTTAATATTCCACACTTTTTTTTTACAACTTTATTGAGATATATTTCTCACAACATAGACTTTACTTATTTCAGTCATCTTTAGGAGGTTCATGGAGTTGTGCAACCATCACTACGAACTAATGTTAGCACATTTCCAGCACTCCAGAACAAAACCCCAGTTTCCCCTTCTCTGCATCCTCTGGCAATTGCTGATCTACTTACTCTCTGTGTCTAGGGATTTGTCCGTTCTGGATATGTCATACCGATGGAATCATACAATATGTAGCCTTTGGTGTTTCTGCCCTTTTTCACTTGGTATGAAGCTTCCCAGGCTCATCCAAGTTGTAGTGTATATCAACACTTCATTCTTTGTCTTGTTGAAGAATACCCCGTGGTTATGGCTATGCCACATTTTGGTCATCCATTGAGAGGCATGTGGGTTGTTTCACTTTGGGCTATTATGAAATAATGCTGCTGGAGGCAATTGTGTACAAGTTTTCATTTTTCTTGGTTATATACCTAGGAGTGGATTACTGGATCGCATGGAAACTTTATGTTTCATAGTTGTTAATACAATGTTTTCATTGAAATTTGGCTTGGGCCTCAGGATAGCAAAAACGTATCCTTACTGCCAAGTCTAGACTTGTGAATTCTCATTTTCACTATATAGAAATATTTTCCCAAATATCCCCGATGTTGTCACATTCACTTTTCTTTTCTGAATCTGCTTTAACTGAGTTCTGAGTGTTCTGCTTTTTTTGCTCTGCTAGACATTGTTTTTAATGCGAGATGACAGATGCGTTTGGAAACCTCCTTCAGCACACTTTGGCTGACTAACTCCATGGATAAGAACTAGATGGAGCCATGTGCTTCAAAGATACTTAGCACTTAAAAATCAGGAGACATGAGGCTGGGCTGTTAGCTGTGTATCTTTGGGCAAGGCACTTGCCTCAGCAAGTCAGCCTCCTGATACCTACAAAGAGCATAACCACGCTCGAATCATGATGTGGTTAGGAAAGTGAGTGTGATGGATGTGAGCATGCTTTGTAAACATCACAATGTCATAGAATTACAAAGGATCACTATGTCCATGTACAATACATGTGTTGTCATATATCTTGCTGATTTTTTAAAAAGATTATTTATTTATTTGACCCAGAGAGGGAGTTCAGAAGTAGGCAGACAGAGGGGGAGGCAGGCTCCCTGCTGAGCAGAGAGCCCAATGCAGGGCTGGATCCCAGGACCCTGAGATCATGACCTGAGCCAAAGGCAGAGGCTTAACCCACTGAGCCACCCAGGCACTCCAGGTCTAAGACTCACTTTTGTAACTCCTATTCTCTTTTGTTTATTTGGCCCTACCAACTCAAAAGATAGAAACAGGTCCAATTCCAAACCAAAGAGGAAGTGTATTTCAAGTCATTCTTTTTATGGATATAAGAGATTTGCATGATAATCTTTGCTTTTAACTCATATACAAAAAAACTCCCGAGTTTGTTATAACAGTTTCCATGGTTAGTTTTCCATGCTGACAGGTGAACAGTTTATTTATTTCTGTTCAAGTATAATCTATGGTTATAATGATAAGCCCTGAAGATTTAAATGCTGAATGTGTTGGAAGCTTAGCAGTCGCAAGTTTACATAACAAATGGGGCAACCGGCCAAAGAAAAGAAAGCCCAGAAGATATCGAGGGTAATTTATGTCATTTGGACCCTAAATGATGTTTGGGAACTTAGCAATGGTAGAAAAAAATACTCAAATGAAAATGATCAACTTCCTTCTTGAATTTCTTTGACTCAGGGTTTTCCTAAAATTTTTGAAACCATAGTTAAACTTGAGGTAGCTACTCAACCTTTATTTTGTAGCGGAGAATTCTAGAGATAGCTATTTTCCTTAAAGCTTTCCTGTGTGGAAGTTTTGGAAGTTGACTCTACTTCATTAATTTTGTGGGTCTGAGATCACTTTTCTGTAAATGGCAGTTAAGCTGTTTTGCTCTTATGTCAGAAATCAGTCCCTACAGATTTGCGAAAGAGCCATTTTACTGCTAAACAGAGGGAGTTTTGCACTGTCTTATGTAAACACAGTTCATGTAAGAAAAATGTAAATTTCCAGTGGTACTGATTAACTAAAGCATTCTATCCCAAAATACAAACAACAATAACAAAACATAGATAAAATTAATTCTAATATAAACTCTGTTTTTGGCAACTCGGCACTGATGATGGTTGAGGTATCTTTGCATCTATGGTTATAAATTAAAGGCTAGATTTATACTTATTTTTATATTAAAACATTTATTCACCACCTGCTATGTGTGAAGGACAGTGAAACCAGATCGCAGTGATGGCCTTGGGGCCTGAGGTTGACACAAGTGTGGCTTTCAGGTTGTACTCACACTATAGCTAAAGAAGATCACTAGTTAATATCTAGAGCAAGTAGTAATTTAGTAATAGGGGTCTCCAGAGGTTAACGAGGCCATCCATGTACATTCTAGCTGAACCAATGCCTAAACATCCCCGTGGCTGAGCGTTTCCATATCATGAAAGTGTTTTCATAGGGAAGAAGATTCCCCCCTTCACAGATGGTCTAATGCATGCTGTCAGTACCTCCTTTGTTGTGTTTTTTGTTTTGTTTTTTAGATTTTATGTATTTATTAGAGAGAGAAAGAGAGAGCGAGAGAGAAAATCTTAAACAGATCCCAAACTGAGCCCAGAGCCTGATGTGGGGCTCGATCCCACGATTGTGAGATCATGACCTGAGCCAAAACCAGGAGTTGTCAGATGCTTAACCGACTGAGCCACCTGGTACCCCAGTACTTTGTTTTGACCTAAAAGCTGTGACAAATGAAACTGTTAAGGAACTGTACACACAAACCACTCTTTCTATCAAAACTGGTCTAAGAAGGGGCATCTGGGTGACTCAGTCAGTTAAGTGTCTGCCTTTGGCTCAGCTCATGATCCCAGGGTCCTGGGATTGAGCCCCTCATCGAGGTCTCTGCTCCATGGGAAGCCTGCTTCCCCCTCTCCCACTCCCCTTGCTTGTGTTCCTTCTCTCGCTGTGTCTCTGTCAAATAAATAAATAACTAAATAATCTTAAAAAAAAAGGTGTAAGAATTAGTAATACTGCATAGATCGTCAGGGGCCAACCATTGTGGGGGAAAAACGTTTCCTCGAAGAAGTGTGTGTTTCTAAGACTTCAGTGTCATTGACGTTGGGAGAAGACATGGGCCGGCTCTGGTGGGTGATGCTCAGGGCGGTTCCTAATTCCCTCATTGCTTTTAATTGGTAACTATTTTTTGCTTTAGGCCTAAGCATTGCCTATGGCTTGCTTTACGTCTTAATAATTTTTAATGAGAAATTTACATAATTGACTCAAAAGCAATAAAAGGAACCTTACTGTTTTGTTTTCCTCCCACAGTTACTTGGACATAGGAGAGATGAAGAGGAGACCTATGGAAGTTGTTAATACAGAGGTAATGCCAGTGACACGTGGAAAACTCCAGTAAATCACAGTGCCGTTTTTGTATTTCTTACTGCATATCTTAGAACTTGGATGACATTCTAATCATTTATAGACAAAAGGATGAATTTTTCAGTCTTTTGCTTATGCTATAGCTAAAGGATGACCACTGGTTAGAATCAGTAGCAAGTAGTGAAAAGTACACCAGGGCACTGGTTTTGGATGGAATTTTATTTGAAGGATACACAACTGTTCAAGGTCAGCTATCTTGCTGGAAATTGGTGACCAAGGCCAAATTTCTGCGCTGGAATTTGAGGTGTGTGAGTTCTTTAAATGTGAGTATATGTTTCTCTGGGCTCTATGTGTCTGAGGAGGACGTTGGCAACATGCAACAGATGTGCAATAAATTTTTCAATGACCCTTTCTTGCAAAGATCATCCTTCATGGGGGAAGTGTTCCCAAGGGCTCTCATTTAAGTGCCGAGTGTTCTGCTGAGGAGCAGTAGTGCCTAGTGTCTCTTACCTGCGGGTCTGTGCACCTGCTCCCAGACAAGGTTCTGACTGGTGGTGCACATTTTACCTGTGAGAAACCCACCCCTTCCCTCCGACTAGGAGACTGCGTTTCTTCCGCTGTATTTCTCCCTGGTGATTCCCTCGTCTTCTCCTTTCTTCCAACTGCATAGACCCCGCTGTCACCTTCCATTTTTTCTCAGCCCTTCTCCACAAAGCCTTCCAGAAGAGATAAAGAGAAAGAAGTGGAAGAAATTTGGGCATGCCGGGGAGATGGGAGAGGTGGTGGGAAGCAGCGTGTCTGTGTTCCTCGACTCCCCAAGCCCCACTCCTCCCGAGGCCTGCTGTCCCCCTTCTGTCCTCCCAACCCTGCCTCCCAGTCTAGACATGGATGCATTCATTCCCCTCCCCCTGCATTCCCTGGTCTCGATTTTCAACACAGAGAGAGCTCCCTCCCGAAGTCCACACCAGGACCCACCAAATGCCCACTTTGAGCAAGAGGAGCCCCTCCTTTCACTGCCAGAAAGAGAGAGTTTTGGGGTTCCTGGCATCCCCAAAGGGAAGTGTGAATGCATTTTCTCATCAAGATACCACTTGAGCTCTCAGTTCTACTGTATTATTCTTGTTGTTTGAAGGAGAGGACTAGATTTCTGAGCTGTTCTGAGAACCTGCTATGTGTGTAATTCTTACTGGGGGATATACCTCTCTCTTTTCTACGACTGATGTACAATCAAACTTTTAGAACGCAACAAGTTTAAGGTTAGAAGACTGTGTTCAGAATTTGAGAACAGACTTGACGGACACCAGCCTTTCACAAAAACCATAGATGCTATTTTCTTGATCGGAGGTGGTGATTTCATTTAGCATTTGTGTCTACCGAGGAAAGGGGGCACGCCTTTGTCAAAGGCTATTGATGACCCGCTGTTGTTTGGAAGAAGGTAACATATCTTATTCCCAGTCACAAGGAAGGGTTCAGAGAATTCTCGAAGTGGGTCTAGAACATGGTTACATGGAATCGGAGGGTGGACAGAAGGTTCAAGGGGGGATCTGCCCGTGCAGTAGGAACACGGACCATGCTTATTCAGAGATGTTCCGGTATAAAGGGTGAGTAACGTTACTTATCAAAATTGGGGTATTTCCCTCAAAACTGAGATAATGTCATACTGTCCATATTGTCTGTGTTGGGCTATAACAAAGACCATGACACCGGTGCACCAGTCCGTTATCCTCGTAGCTTAAACATATTAATTCTAAGAATCCCCAGCCCGTGTTACTCCTAGAAAGACCCTTTATAGTTCAAAAGCGTTCTGCTGGGTGTGTGGCTTTGTATCCTAGGCGCTGCGGGCCATTTGCGCACGTGGTAGGAAGCCTGGCCAGTGGGCGCTGGGAGTTAATAGCATTCCTTCCTTTCTCCCAGAGCTCCTGCACCCAAGTCCACAATATGATCTGGATGTTCTCTAGCTAGTTAATAATTTAGACACAATGGTATCCACTAGCTGACCACAGGTCACAGCAATGAGACTGTGCGTGTCACCTTGACATTTGAAGTCCTTTTGTGGTTTCTGTCAATGCTTTTCTGTTCCATGAGGCTCATCTTTGAAGAGACACTGAAAGGACAGCCAGGCCTGTTCCTCTTGCTCTTGGTGGCCATATCACCAGGACAGAGAAAGGCAGAACTCTACCGGACCTCTGTCACTAACTCTAAAGAAGTGCACGATCTTATCTGGCCAACACCTCAGACGGCAGGAGGAAAGGGGGAGAAGAAAAGGGAGATACGTCTTAAAAACTGAGAAGGCATCTCTGTGGGGGTTAGCCCCTGCTCCAAGATGGGCAGCACAGCATGGTGGGTGCAGAGAAGATGTCCCTTGTCTGCCTATATGTGGGTCTTTCTTTTACTGATATCCAGATAAAGGAAGCTTCTAGACCAGGCGTACTCATGCTCCCAGTCCTCAGGCATTTTCTATAGCTGTCTTCTCATCTTTCTTCCGACACTCCCTCCATCAGTGGGGGTCTTAACAGAGCCTGGTTGCTCATCTTCAGCCCTTGGCACCTCATCTCTTATTTACACCTTCTTGGCCCTCTCTTTGCTTCCTTCTCCCCTCCTCTCAGCCCAGGTGTGGATCTCTTGTGATCCTTCCACATTCCAAGTTAACTCACCAGCTTTTTTCTTTCCTCTGCTACCTAAGCAGGCTCTGTTTCCTCTGCCCTCTGGTGCTAGAAGCCTCTAATCTGCACAAAGAGTGCCTTTCCCCGTCCTTACGGGCCCCACTGTGCTCTGGCCCTTTTGCTTTCCTGAAGGAGTTTCTCCTTGTTTCTGCACCTCATCTGCTTTGCCTTCACAGGACTGGACGCCTGTACCGCGCAGCACATTGACAGGGCGCTGGGGGCAAAGTTCAGCAAGACACACAGAGCCTCTCACCCCCGGGGCATTTAGAGTCTTGCTGAAAAGACAGATGTATGCCCATCTAGTACCAGACCATAAGTGATTGCATTTGATAAGGCTTCGATCCGGTTTGTGGGGAGCTTTTGAAGGGGTCTTGACTCCATCATGTTGCAGCAAAGGCTGAACCGTGGTTGTTCTGGGTTTCCCATATAAACGGGATGTTACAAAAAAACCTAAAGCACTTCATGGCCAACATCTGTTTAGATTTTGTTGTGGGGATAAAATTAGCCATTGCTGAGCCTTTGTGTGATACATTATTGCGTCTCCAGTGTAATCTGGAGCTGTAGGAAATGAATGTTATGACTTCACAAGGATTTATGGGCTGCCTGCTGTGTGCTAGGCTTTGTGCTTGTCCCCTGGCAGCCAGCAACAAGGCCATGTCCTCAGGGACTAGACCACTCTGTAGCCTCTCTTACTTGCTCAGATGGATTTTAACTCCATTGGCAATGATCTTTGTTGAAGAACTTGTACATTTGTTTGATTCAAGGCCCTCATTTTGAGGGCTGAATGGTTTTTGAACTGAGTATCAGACTTCCCCATTATTAAGGCTACCTTGGTCTCCCAGGCCAGTTCAGGCTCGGGCCTTCGACCTTCCTTCTCAGCTTCCCCTGTCTTCTTCTCCCTGTGTCTGGTTCTTTTCTGCTCTACCCCGAATGCAAGTGTCCATCGACGTCTAATGCAGAACAACCCGGAACTTTCTTTTCTTGACTCTTGCCACTCTGTGTTCTCAGAGCCAGCAGAAAAGATCATTTTTGCCCATTCCTCACATTCCTATTTCTGAAAAAAATGAAGGATCTGTTTGGGTTTCTCCTTGCTCTTTCTCATGTGTGAACAGAGGCAGTAGACACACGCGCACCTCACGACCGGCGGATGATCAGGCTTGCCTTGGTCTGAGTAATGTGCCCAAGAAAAAAGTACACTCCCTACAGTTTTGAAAACTGGGGCCTTAAAGAGAAATCTGCCAGTTAAACTCTGAGCTAGGACCCCAGCGAATGCATTTCTGAGGAAGTGGGATCCTCCTTGTTGGATGAGCCATCAGGTTGAATTCTCTCTCTTTTTCTTTTTTTTAAAGATTTTATTTATTTATTTATTTGAGAGAGGGAGAGAGAGCATGAGAGGGGGGAGGGTCAGAGGGAGAAGCGGACTCCCCACAGAGCAGGGAGCCCGATGCGGGACTCGATCCCGGGACTCCAGGGTCATGACCCGAGCTGAAGGCAGTCGCCTAACCAACTGAGCCACCCAGGCACCCTGAATCCTCTTGAATCCACATCCCTCATCTTAGATGTTCAATTATGGAGAATTGGGGGGAACTCTGTTTCTTCTTAGTGGGGAGGAACACTCGCAGGGGCCCCTGGGAGACGTGAGAGGTGGGACGAGAGATTTCAGGAATATCAAAACTGACAAGTTTGGGGTAAAGGGGGTTGCCCGTACTTTAGGTAGGTTCCTCTGGGCATATAGCTTTAAGGTTTTGAATATAATTCTTAAAACTTCAAACTTCAGCTTAATCATTAGGTATAATCTCTAATGAAACATACTATGAGAGTTGCTACTTAAAGGCTTTTGGTTGGAAATGGGATTCTAGGCATTAAATGGGGTATAATTATTAACCTTGCTGAGGGGAAGGCATGGGGCTCTCTGATTTAACTCGCTAATCTTTAGCCTGGGAATTCTGGGTTCAAAGGGGGAACTGCTATACAGTAAAAAGTCCCAAATATTTCTTTCTTTAACTTAGGGAAAGATTTCCAGATTATGTTAGACATTTACTAATTCACTGAAGAATCAAAGAAGATAAAACCCACATCTGTGAGATCTTTCAACGATAATCGAGGCCTCTCCCCAGTCTTTTATTTCTTACCTTCCCCTGCCTCTCTAATGTAACTTATAAGTCAGAGGTGTTTTTCCAAGGATAGTAAGTGCCTGTCAGTGGTCATGGTGATTCCAAGGTGAGTATGACCTTGTCAGTGCTCTATGAAGACAAAGTTTTCTATTAAAAAACCAACTGGCTATACTTCATTTCCCTTTCACACTTTCTTGTTTTACTTTTTTTCTCAGTATTGAGCTGTGTACGTGTGTGTGTTTGAACAAGACTGAGAAAGAAGTGTTTATGTCAGTCGGGAAAACATTGGTCTAATGAAAAGTATCCATTAATAACCCTAATCAGCTCTGATCCAAAGCTAAAGGATTAGTGATTTTAGTCTGTCCATTAGCCCGAATCATGACTTTTGTTCCAAATATTTTGTATTTTCTATTTGGCATTTAGACATGATTTTTAGGAGATTGAGTGTGAAAGTGAAGGCATGTAATTAGAAAATGTGTAATTTTAAAATTTATGGTAATAAGCTGTTCTAAGCAAAGACAGACCTAAACTAAACATTTGGAAAATAATTACCAACCTTTTAAGAAGAAAACAGAAAAAGTATCTAATAAAATAAATTGCTAACTAAATGTATGTGTTTGAAAATATCACTTAATTGAAGTGTCAAACTGTTCATAATAAAACGCTTAAGCCCCCACTACACAACAAAACCTACTGAACAGAGAAAAACTTCTTGTTCTTATACTGCATGGGAATCAGACACATAAAAGATGAAATTTTAGGAATGTGCACTAGGATTCTGCCACGCTATACCAAGCTTCTAGTTGTGCGCTTACTCGAAAATCAATACTTAGTTTCAGGTTTTAGGATAATCATTAGAAGGAGCTTATTGAGTTTTCTTCTAAGGTCGAAGGGACTATTCATGATGGATGTATGATGTAGGAATAATCAGGAAAGCGTGACTAGACAAATAGCAAAGTATAGCCAAGGAAGGCAAATAAATTCTGCTCAGCCATTTATTGAATACCGCCCAAGAATGCTTTCACATTTTCTCAAGATTTAGCAAGAGCCTGCTGACTGCCAGCCTGGGGGCTAGATTCCCGTGATACAGACATAAAAAGACCCTTACCATGTGCAGATCAGAAAATAGGACAAGGTAATTGTTGTAGGAGGATGCTGGAAAGAGTTTGAAGAGATAAGATGCACCAAAAAGAAGAAAAAGATTGAAATATAATACCAGCGATTGTTACCCCAAGGGGAGAAAATGATTTATTTAGATCTAATTCTTAACTGGCTTCAGTACTTACTAAGAAGGTGGTAACTATCTCTTCTCCATCACAGCTGAGTACCAAAAGGGGGAAACAAAATCAAACTACAGGGTGAGGGGCTGAAGAATTTGAGTCAGATTGGAAGAAAACTTTTAAGAAAATTGGTTATGACTACCAAGCAGTTATTGAAAGAGTAGGTCATGTCTCCTTTCCGCCTGTTTCTAATGGCAGACCCATTCTTCTGACTTGCATGTCTCATTTGCATACCAATATGGCAGAGCCGAGTTGAGATTGACATGAGGTTCAAAATGCCCTCTGATCCAGGTTTTGTGGGAGCCTTCCTGGGAGACTCAGGAAGACCCATGCTTGGGTTGTCATGCCCTCTATGGAGGAGGCCGTATGTGGGAGAGGACCGCTGGAGTGAAGGTACCCCAGCATCCTGGACAGATAGAGCAACCATCCTGAGAGATGTTTCAGGTTTTTCCCCCCACAGTGTACATCTGGGAAAAAAAACCCAAGAGGGTGGTATGTGAAAGGAATAAGAGAAGTGAAACTCAGAGGAATCAGTGACGAGAAACAAGCATATAACATCATCTGTGATGATACACTGATTTTTGATTATGGTATTAAAGCTTGTCAGTGTATGCCTAATTTTAAATTTTATTTCCCTTTAGTTTAGAGAAAATTCTCTCTTTGTGTGTGTGTTTGCATTTCCTCTTTTATTCTCACATGGGCTACTTGTAGAAGCTTTGTTTCAAAGACGTCTTGGACGTCTTGGTCGTTTCAAAGCCCTTGGATGTCTGCCGGTGGATTAGCGTGGAAATGAAGCCAGGACTTGTGCTTGGACCCTATGGGCCTCTTAGTTCTACTGGGTCTGTGCCCCAGACTGACCCCCAGACAGCCCCCAGCCCTCTCAAGTGTGGTGCTGGTGAAGGCATGGGTGAGAGTGTATGTGTAATTTAGCTTACCTCTATCACAGTGCTGGAAAAACACCTATAAAGTTCTCTATCTTGAAGGTAGGTCACAGGCTAATAGTCTTATCTTTATATACAAAATAACAGATTTCAGCCTACTTCAAAATGGATGGATGGCAGTGTTTTTTAAGATAGGGTTATTGGGGTGCCTGGGTGGCTCAGTCAGTTAAGTATCTGCTTCTTGATTTTGGTTCTGGTCTTGATCTCAGGGTCACGAGTTCAGGCCCCACATTGAGCCCTGTGTTGGGCTCCCCACTCAGTATGGAGACAACTTAAAAAAAAAAAAAGTCTATTTATTTGCATTTGGTTGGTTTCAGCAGGAAGTACACAGGTGGTGTGCCTTGGTGTCTGGCTTGGTCAACAATGAGAATTTCATTTATCATTGTGAAAGCCTCCTTTATAAGCAGCCACCCAGATCAGGCTCAGATGTCATCGCATGATTACATAGTTGGGATATTTGGTTTGTTGAAATAAGGTTGGTTTCAGCCCACCTGGTAGCTGGGAAGTGGGAAGGGATTGTGGGAGAGAGAAAACTAAATTGATTCGGTATATTTGCAGTGTCTAATGTTTAACCTGGAACATTTCTGTCTAGGAAATTTCTGATGGCAACCTGTGCTGCTGGGTGTGTGTCTCATCTTGAGTTTCAGAGACTTAGGAACTCCCATGGCCATCTTTCCTGTTTCAGATATACAACCTAATGTAACCAGGCTGCTGACTTGCAGACATTTTACAAAACAAATCATCTAATATTACCCATATTGTAAAGTTTACATTGATGGGTCAAAGGCCGTCTTCGCAGCCTGTTTTCCTAGACGTGAACAGATAGCTAGATTTCTAGTGCTGCAAGGCTTGCATTAGTGAGTATGGGCTCTCGCACCGCTGCTTTTGAAAACTGGATTAAAAAAGTGATTGGAAATCTCAACTTTAAATTATATATTATATATGTTACTATGTGTATGTATTACTTTAGCTTTTAGTATGGCTTTTGCAAGTGGAGAGCTTGTTTCTCACGAATGCTCCGCTGGCTGATACTTAATTGAGTCAGAGTATATAGAAATTGAATTAAATTACCTTTCTGTGAGGCGGTGCTTCTCCTGGTCAGATTGCTGTTCACTTGTGTTATTCCAGCTTCAGTTAATTTATCAGTAATATGGATTAACCTTGGCTCTTCCCAACTGGTGGTCTGTCTATTGACATGCGATGAGTGTGGATATAATGGAGTGCCGGGGATGTGATTTGTCCCTGGCAACTTTCAGCATTTTAACTTTCGGTGACTGTAATTTATTTCTAAACTCTCCTCGCCTCCCCCACCTCTGTAATTCACTTGTTCCCATATAACCATAGTCAAATTATAATTCTCCATTTGGGAATTCCCTTTGCTCTACCTTCTGGTACCAAGTCAGTAGGGTTGAGTGCATCCAATTTGGTGGCAATAGAACATGCCCAGTGCCTACTATAAACGTATTCATTCATAGGCAGTCCTGGCAAGACGTGTACCTGGAATCTGGTAACAATGTTGCTTTAGCTTGTGTGTTGCAGATACCACGTGGCCACTCTGAGTTATAGGCAGAATCATGAAATCACCATGGCAGTCTTCTCGTGCCCCATCTAAGCAATCCTAAAGACTTTGGAGCAGATGGCTGTGTTTCCAGGGTGTGGGGAAGGGGAGTCTGGAGATGAATTGCTCTGTGTCTCTGCTGTTATTTTTGTCCTCCTTTCATGGAGGAGAAAGTTGGGAGCTTTAGGGAATGACACCGATCGTAAGTTTTATGGATCTTTTTGGTAGTAAAAAATTAATATCACAAATCTTTTCATCCAAAAAAACAAAAAAAAAAAAGTATCATGGCCCGATTCATGTGCCAGGCATCCTGCTACATTGGGTTTACAAGGGCAGGGAAACCAGACAAGGTCATAGCCTTCATGAGGCGTATTGTTCGGTGGAGGCCAACAAGCTGTCAGAACAGAGCACGCAGCCCAGGGGGCGTGGGGTGCTGGAGGGGCGGTGACCGGAGCCAGGGGGCTCCTGAAACATTTCCTGGGAGAAATGGCATTTCAGTGGAGCCCTGAAGGGATGAGCAGGTGTCAGCCAGGCCGGCAGGGGAGGAGGAGGTCCCAGCAAAGGGAGCAGCCTGTGTGAACCTCTGCAGATGAGGGAACGTGGGGCACCTTCCGAAACTCTCACCAGTTCTATTTGGCTGAAGCATGGAAAGGCATGGGGGGGGTGGTAGGGAGGGAAGGGGGATAAGTGAGAGATGAGACTCAGGAGGTAGAGATAAAAGGTTTTTAAAGGAGCTTTGGTGTTCTTCTAAAACCATTGGAAGTTATAGAAGGGGTTCAGCAGGGGGTTGACAAGACGACCCTTGCTGCCCCAGCAAGGCAGGATGTGGAGAGACCACTTAGTGGAGAGGAACATGGTGCTCATGACTGGGGAGGGTGAGGAGAGGGTAGAGGGACCAGATTTGAGAGGCTGGCAGGACTCTCATGAAGAGAGATTAGTGGATGATTCTTGGATTTCTGGCTCTGTCAACAGGATGCATGGTTCTATCATCAGTGGGAAGATAGAGTCCCCTTCATGGAGACAGGGAGAATAGTTTGCTTTGTTTTTCAAAAATTTTATTTATATAATTTAGAGAGAGAGAGTGAGGGGAGGAGCAGAGGAGGAGGGAGAGGGACAAGCAGACTCCACACTGAGCGTGGAGCCTGACGTGGGGCTCGATTCCATGACCCTGAGATCGTGACCTGAGCTGAAACTAAGAGTCAGACATTTAACCGTCGGAGCCACCCAGCATCCACCACCCCCTGCCCCCGGCTTTTTTCTTAATAACCATGACAGTCAGAAATATTTGAAGTCTTAACTGTTTGGACACGGAGCCAACCCAAATGTTGGGAGTTGAACAAAACTAGAGCCCGCTGTGGGGAGAGAGGGAGAGACAGACAGGGAGAAAGAGAGAGAGAGAGTTTCTTCACCATGTGCTTAGTAGTGTTCCAAGCCCCTCACAAAGATTGTCTAACTCAG